ACGACAGTATTATATTTCATATAAGTACCAACAAATTTTGTGGCACAATGTGCAACATTCGACATGATTCTAGTTCAGATATGAAATCTTGATCATTTTATAGTATGAAAAATAACGAGAATTCTTATGTAAAATCAGAAACGACGCAAAGATGAATCATTTCTGATCCAAATTATATATTTCTTTCAAAAAGCCATATATATTGTTTAGAATTGTCGTAATAAGTTCAAAATTAGAATTATAATCCATATATGTTCATTGCTTGAAGTCGACATTGAATAATCTATTTCCAAATAAAAATAATAATCTGAATGCACTTGACAAAAAAGACAAATGATACACTTGATTCGACCTGACCTGACCCATTTCCATCTCTGCGGGAGTGCCGACCCCGCTTCAGAAAAGTTCTGGGTCCGCCATTGTGTAGAACAATCTTAGGGGTGCTTCATATGACTTACTTAGTCATATGAGTCTAATACTTGAAACGTTAATTATTCTACATTTAGTCTGCTTCTCACCAGTACGAGTGTACTGACCCCTTCAGGAGCCCTCACCATTTTCAGGTTGAAGCTAGAGTTTGCTACCCGCACCTTTGCACTGGTGAAGTACTCTCAAGGAAGACGTGGTTCGTGTTTCCTTTATTGATTCAAAAGTATAAATAATGCTCATGGATATTTGTATTTGAAATACTTTGTTTTGGGCTTGCGAGCCTGCTTTTGACGTATGTGGCCCATGATCCGATAATGAATAATTCCGCTATTCATTTGATTCAAATGTGATGTTGTTATGTATGTTTACTTGCCGATTATTATATGAACTATGTTCATGGATGCCTTGTATAACCAAGTGAGGGTGACATGAGGTGACATCACTTGATAGTGCAGTAATTATTCACGCGCTTAGATGCGGTCTGGGGCTTAACACCGGTCATTACACACGTTGAAAGATTGGTATTTGATTTTTTCAAAAATAAATATGACAATTCTTAATTGTTAGTACTTTGATTTTAATAACATTTATTAATTATTATTATTATCATTATTGTTTTTTGGATGAAATGTAAATACTTATTAAAAAATCCTCCGAAAGTAACACATACAATGTATCAAAAGAACCAAGAAAACAACATAAGATAGCTAAACTAACCTAAAATAGTGCCTCCCTACCACCAAAAGGTAGGGGGCAGGAAGAGAAGATTGTAAACGTCCAAAAACAAATTCGAAAAGTCTAAACTAGCACGGGACATGCCCGACTTAGTATCATAAATAGTCCAACCAAAGTAATCAATTGAAACAGCCTCATTAGCCCAACCCACCAGACAACATTACTAGTTCAGCTAGTTAAAGCCATACAATAGCCATCAGCGAACCGGAGGGACTTCAGCTAAGTTTGGATTCAACTTCTTCATTTAGCTCAGATAGCGACCACTTACAAAAGATACATTCTCCTGAATACGGTCATTAGCTAAAGCTGAAACTGAATGTGCATGTGGTGCTTAAAAGGAATATAGATATTTCACCTGGATTGTGCAATGGTACCCGACTTTTGATGACTAACATGGAGATCATATTGTCGAGGATCAAATAATACATGTGGGCAAAATGACTATGAAATGTTTCCTATTCCTACATACTCTAACACCATTAGATGTTAGGTTCCTTTTCACATTTACTAAAAGTTAGGGTCAGTCCTTGGAAAAAGTTGACATCCTCTCCCGTCACCCTTTTCTTACACATGAACATGTGTATGTGGACAAGACCTTGTTAAAAAGGATGGACAAGACGACCAATCACATCTGTCTTGAATATTATATACAAATAAGTTTATAATAATTTGTATCTTTTGTTGACATTTCCATGAGCTTACATGCCTATTTCATTGAATGATGTTTTACTAATTTACTTTTTGATTAATACCACTTATTTGTCAATTTGCTATTAAAATGATATCTTATTTAAAATTCTATTTAATGCTTTCAGTTCATTGGATCATTATCAAGTTATTTTTACTCTATATAATTGTTTTTTTTAACCCGGAAGGCAAACCACCAAAATCAATGAGGCCAAAAAGGACATCGTAAAGAGGAAAGAGGAGTACAAAAAGGAGGGGGGCCAAACCAAGAGTCATTTTTGTAATAAGGTTACAACAAGTACAAAAAACCGTTTGATTTAATTTTACAAAAGACATCGTAATTAATGTCTATAATTAAACATTTTCTTTTTAAAATATTTTCCCACCCAAACCTGGCCTTCCCCTAATAAAATTCTTCGTATATTTTAAATATTCTTTTCATACTCTAGCACATTCAACCAATTCAACCCCTTCACCCAACACTTCATCCATTTCAGTAGATTCAACGAATTCAATGAATATTTTTGTTACCACACATGCTCTAATTTATCTGATAACCAAATCTCAAAATAGAAGATTGTTTGTGTTTTAAATTGTGTATCAAGTATCTTTCTAGTACTAGATCATAATTAACGAATTGATTGCTTCCTATTTACACTTTTTAATTGTCACATAAGTTTTCCACGTAGTTTAAGATGATCTTTCAGATTTAGGGAAAATGGTCAGATAGACCATCGAACTTACATAAAAAGGTCAAATAAGCCCTTATATAGGAGGCTCTTTCCGGTCATCGCCATTTGGGGTAGTTCCCGATGGAATTTTTTGAAGATAACTGCGCAGTTAAACAACGTAGTATATTTCAGAAAATCATTTGATTGCCTTCCCAGTTGAATATTTAGCTGAAATTTGGTATGAGTAAACTAGACTTAATGAATACGCTGCTAAAAAAAATCATCAAAAAATTCCACCAGGAAACGCCTCAAATGGCGACGGCCGGACAGAGCTTCCTATATAAGGGCTTATTTGATCTTTTTATGTAAGTTCGAGGGCCTATTTGACCCATTTCCCTTAGATTTACTATACATTTACAACAACAAAATTAAGGTTTTTTATATTATTAAGCATTTTATACTTCATTAAAGTTACTATAGCTATTTTTCGAAGGGTAAATTTCTTTCTAAAAATGTGAATGTGACTATTAATTTAATTCAATCAAAAGAGGATACGAGATAGTTTTAGTGATACCACAAAGAGTATATTTTTTATGCAACGATTTTTCATATAATTTTTATTATTTTATGTGAGAGCCTGTTTGAAAAACATGTCCTTTAAACACTAATGTGATTCAAAGCTTAATACATCATAATCAACTTCAAACACAAAAATATCGGGAAAGATAATTTAAATACTCCAAACTTTATTGAAGTGTGAGATAAGTATCCCAAACTTGCATAAGTAATATATTATACCCCGAACTTTATATAAAAAATTTCGCACCATTATTGTCTGTTTGTTACAAATACAAATAAAATTTATTGGTATAATTATTCAATTTAAAATACTCTAATCTTTGTTAGAATGCAGTTAACATTCTAAAATTTTATTTGTGAAATAAATAATACTACATCCGGTTAAATTTAAATCTAATTGCATCCTCATAAATGTTTTATGTATTTTAAGTTATGTATTTAACACAATAAAATTACATTTGTTAAAAATACATGATCATGATACTAAAATAACTTTTTATATAAAATTTGAGGTATATATATTACATGTGCAAGTTTGAGATACTTATCTCACACTCATTTAAAGTTTGAAATATTTAAATTATTTTTTGCAAAGATATATGACATTTTATTGTATAATTCACAACTACTATTTTGATAAGAAAATCAAAATCAATTCCACAAGTACAGAATAACGGAGACCTGTTGTTTTTCTGGAATATAAATGAATTAAAATTTCATAAATGTGACTATAGTTATAATAATCATGATCATTACAATATAAAATTAAATAAAACAAATATTGTTATAACTAAATGTTACATAATTTTTATAAACAATACTCCTATTTATTTTAAGAAATTCGTACTTACTATAAGTATTCGTACTTACTATAAGTAATCATATATTTCGTAATTCGTACTCCCTCCGTTCTTTATTATCTGTCCTCTTAGGTTTTGGCACGGGTTTTAAGAGGAAAATAGTAGGGGTAGTGTAAAAGGTGTAATGAGTAGTGGGTAAATGAAAAAGTAGGAAAGAGAAAGGGGTAATGGTAATAAAAGTGGGGGTATAAAGGTATATTTAAAGTAAAAACTTTCCTTAAATGGAAAGGAGGACAAATAAAAAAAAACGCCCCAAAAAGGAAAGAAGGACTTTTATTAAAGAACGAAGGGAGTACTTACTATATAATTATTTCGGATTTTATTTCAAAGTTTGTTATGCGTCCAAGTTGAACTTTCTAATATCACAAGGTCTTCAGCAGCTGCGCGTCCAAATATTTTACTTCCCTCGAAAATGAAAATAATTCATGTGGCAACGACTTACTACCCACATTCATACTGCCTTTCTCCGTGTACGCACTACACACTAACTGACTTTGCTTCCGATATCTGTGCAAGAAGCCAAATCGAGTGTCTCGTGATCTCGTCCGTGACTCCATCTTTTCAATGTTCTTTCTCCGCAGTTTATGTATATTTTATGTTTATATGCTTATATATGAGTCTACAAAAACATCTAAGACTATGATTTTCGTCCCCAGAGAGGAGCAATTCAATCTTGCCTTAAAATCAAGTTTTTGTCCTGTTTCAGTTTCACCCATTGCTTTGATACTTGCATTGAAACTTCCCCTGATCTTGACCTTGCCGGTGCTTATTGCAAATGTTTTAAAATTCAATTCTTGATGTTCAACTGGACAGGCCTAATCATCCTTGATTTTTAAGAAACTGGTGTTGCTTTCATCAGTTATTGATTGCTACACACTGGGCCATTGTGGGGCTGGTCTTGCCTTGTGAAAATGAGTTATTTTGTTGGTACTTAATAATTGTCTTTTCCCACTTTTGGTCTTATTGTTGCTGAAAGATAAGATCTTTTTTCATTATTGGTTGTATATAATAAGATGTAGGGATGGTTTACCCCTGCTGTATAGAAAAGATTCTTTCTTTGAAAGTTTTAGTGCAATAGAATATTTTCTTGAGGTACATACTGTTCAGATTTCTTTTCTTCCTTCCTTTTGTATTGAAAGATTGGAGAAGTAGTTAGCTTTACAAAGAATTAAGATGAGGTGGTTATTGGTGTTGGGAGTGGTTGTTTTTTCAGTCATGTGTGGATTTGTTATGAGCAAAGAATGTACTAACACTCCTTCAAAGCTGTCATCACACACTGTGAGATATGAGTTGTTCTCATCAAAGAATGAAACATGGAGAGAAGAAATGTTTAGTCACTACCACTTGACCCCAACAGATGATTCTGCTTGGTCTAGCTTGCTTCCAAGGAAGGTGCTGAAGGAGGGAGATAGTTTTGATTGGATGATGATGTATAAGAAGATAAAGAGTTATGGGGGTGGAGCTGGTGGGGGGTTTCTTAATGAGATTTCACTTCATGATGTGAGGCTTCACCCCAACTCAGTGCATGGAAGGGCTCAACAGACAAACTTGGAGTACTTGCTGATGCTGGATGTTGATAGGCTGGTATGGAGCTTCAGGAAGACAGCTGGTTTGGATACTCCTGGGGAGACTTATGGAGGGTGGGAGGATTCTACTGTGGAGCTGCGGGGTCATTTTGTAGGTTAGTCATCTTCTTTTTCTGCATCTTTTTTTTTTTATTGAAGTGAAATATAGAGATTTCTTTTGCAATCATGGCCTCTGATTGGTTTCTTCTTTCTTTTACATCATCAATGTCTTTGCAAAAGTTACTTTTTCTTTAATCATCTATTCATCTATATTGCATGCTCCGTATCATTCGGATTCCTGTTTTATATTTTTAGAAAAATCAATACACTGTTATGATTTATGAAACTAGAAACATTGGACTTTCAGTGTCTTGCTAACTGTTTTCAAAATTGCCATGATTAATATACGCTTGACTGCTTTTAAGTTAATTATATGACCTGCATTATAGTATAACTTTTGAATCATAAAAAAATGCAGTGAGCGAGCCAAATTTATCGTTCTTTCTTTTCTTTTGTTTTGTTTTTTGGTTGATTCTTTTGTTACCGCTTTGTAACTTTCTGTAAAGTTTGCTCCTTCCAAGTCTCTAGGAATCACATTACTAGAAATAAAGGTTTTCAAGTTTACACAACACAGGAAATATTTTATTTGTATTCAGCACTGTAGTTCTGTATTTTCCATGTAAAGTTTATGCAAATAGAAGTAAAACAGGAATTAGGTGCACAAATATGACTATCCTTATTTTCTACTAAAAATAAGACGAATTCATTCTTAATAAAAGAATAAAGGCGATTAATAGTTCTTTTTTCAGGATTTGTCGAGTCATATATTTGGGAAAAACAATGATGTTACTATTTTCATAAATGTGTTAACGTTTTAGTTTTATTTATGAGATTTTTTCTATTCTGACTGTATATTTGAATTAAGTGAAGGAATGTTTTTCAGTGTCTGATGATATTTGATGTTTCCATACTGAAGGGCATTACCTTAGTGCATCAGCACAACTGTGGGCAAGTACACACAATGCCACTCTCAAAAATCAAATGTCTGCTGTTGTTACTGCACTATCTACCTGTCAAAATAAAATCGGATCAGGTTACTTATCTGCTTTTCCATCCGAATTGTTTGACCGTTTTGAAGCTATAAAACCTGTATGGGCACCGTACTACACTATTCACAAGGTATAATATTATGCATCACCCCCTTCGATACATATTTGTTTGAGAAGTATTAACCATTTTTCTTGGAATGACATTAATAACCTCAGTTTATGGGATTTTTATTTGCAGATTTTGGCTGGTCTCTTGGATCAGTACATTTTTGCTAGTAATTCTCAAGCTTTGAACATGACAAAATGGATGGTTGATTACTTTTATGATCGTGTACAAAACGTGATCTCAAGATATACGATTGAAAGACACTGGCTATCTTTAAATGAAGAAACGGGTGGGATGAACGATGTTCTTTATAGGCTGTACAGCATTACGGTGTGTATATCTTTCCTGTTAAGCTTCTAGTTCTCAATGGAGTGTTCTCTTGGATTGTATTGCAACTGTTCCTCTTTTGAACACCAAATTCTGTTTTCTAGCATCAGTCATGTCATGGATGTTGTAGCATACTAATTTGCTTGTCACTATTCAAAGTGAACCTTCAAAACACAATTTTACCCCGTTTAAGTAATCTCACACCGATCAAATATGATATACAAACTCACATATAAGCTTTTAAACCTTTTAAATGAGTAACCCATTCAGACTAAAACTACAAAAATGCACACGTATTAAAAGATTGGTTAGATCCATCGAGCAAACATCTTTCACGGGAATGTTAAGTCGTCTCATGCAGTCTATACATTCTCACTTACAAGGTATTGGACTATGCTTCTTATCAGGCTGACCTTTCAAGATGAAAGGTCAAGTCTTAATACATCCATGCTGGTAGAGCTTAGAGGTTTAATCTGCTGGGGGTAGTTATTTATTCTTAAATCTTAATGCATCTTGCTTTTGCATAACATGCAGGCTGATCCAAAACACTTAATGTTGGCTCACCTTTTTGACAAACCATGTTTTCTGGGGTTACTAGCAATAAAGGTAGTCATCACATCTTTCTCCAAATTCAACTCCGATAGCTAATACCGTATGTTTCTTTTGTATATCTCTTTTCAGCCTGTTTATTTGTTGACTTTAGGCTGATAGCTTATCGGGGTTTCATGCAAACACGCATATCCCAGTTGTGATTGGATCTCAAATGCGTTATGAAATAACCGGTGATCCAATTTATAAGGTAATCATACAGATATTTCTAGACTATATACTATGTATGATTTTTTCTCTTAGAGATTGAATTGCAGCCAAGTAATTTTGTGCCAAACCCCTGAACCTTTAAAAAAATCAACTGAATACATCTTCATAGAATTATGGTATTATTTATCTTTTCTTTTGAGTATAGAAAAAACATTCTATCTTAATTCTAAACTTGAATCACTCTATTTTTTGCAAGGAAATCGGGACGTATTTTATGGAGATAGTCAATAGTTCACATGCTTATGCCACCGGGGGGACATCAGTCAGTGAGCTGTGGTATGAAGAGTGACACTTTAAAATATAATTATTTGAAAAGTTATAAGTTTGGTCCATATCTAACTTCGCTTGTTCATCAGGTCTGATCCGAAGAGATTGGCAAGCACGCTCAAGACTGAGAATGAGGAATCGTGTACAACCTATAACATGCTGAAGGTTCATATGATCATATCTCATGGATTATAAACTTTGTATTACATGTGTATTGTGACAACGAAAATGGAGTGGTCTTTTTGCAGGTGTCTAGACACCTGTTCAGATGGACGAAAGAGATGGCTTATGCTGATTATTATGAGAGGGCGTTAACAAATGGGGTTCTTAGCATTCAGAGAGGAACAGAGCCTGGAGTAATGATTTATATGTTGCCCCTACAACCCGGTGGTTCCAAGGCCAAAAGTTACCATGGTTGGGGTACCAAATTTGATTCTTTCTGGTGTTGCTATGGGACAGGTAACTTAAGTAAATTTTCTTCTACTTTTTTTCTGGCAAAATAAAATAAAGAGTACATTTTTTCATGCTCAAGGATCATGAAAGTGCAAAAAATATGATCCAACCCAATTACCTTTCTTCATACTTTTTATTAAGACATAATAATAAAGAGAAGTGAATCATCAATTTAGATTTATACACTTTAGCTTAGAGTAATTATGTATTTGCTCTTAAACGTTTTGAATCTATTATTAGACAAATTGGGTCAAATATTTATTTAGAATGTGATCCAACCGAATGAACACTGTTCATACAAAAGATAAGACTTAATGACTGAATCATCAATTTCACCTTTAAGTCTGTTTATGACTCACCTTCTTCACTCTATGTTATTTTTACCCAAGGAATTGAATCATTTTCCAAGTTGGGGGATTCTATATACTTTGAAGAGCAAGGAAAAGTTCCAGGACTCTACATCATCCAGTACATACCTAGCTCCATTGATTGGAAATCTGGTCACATTATGCTTAACCAGATCATAGATCCAGTTAGTTCACAGGATAATCGTCTGCGTGTAACCATAACCGTAACAATGCAGCAGGTATCTCCTTAACTTTATTACAGAGTACAACTGTACAAGACATGAATGAACAAATAATAATTCTATACAATACAAACTATAATCTTTTTTTAGTGCCTTGATGTTTATAATGTTATATTTTTCATTTATATTTCTTGAACTTAATGATATGATTACACTAATGTTGATATATTTCTTTTTTTGGAACTTATTTTCTTTGTTCTGGTGCATGTCTCCTTAAAAGTCATCTAGTCTACCATCTACATTAAATTTGAGGATACCAACATGGACATATGCAAGCAGTGCAAAAGCATTGCTTAATGGACAAGCTCTATCTCTTCCACCACCAGGTAATGAATAAACGCTTTTCTGCTATGGATATGATTCTTTCTTTGATGTGTTTTATACTACTTTTATTATAGGAAAAATAAATACTCTCTAGTCCTTAAATAATTGCCCAATTTGAATGTCCATCAAGTTTTAAGGAAGTGAAAATGGTGGAGTAAATATTTACTTAGCAGGGAGAGAGATATTGTGAGCCACATATTGCCTTCCTTAAAGAAAATGGGCAACAATTCTTGGACAAATGAAAGATGAAAGTTCATAGATTATTAAGGCACACAAGGGGGAGTACATCTTGTGGTGGAATAATTACTTACAGTTATTTATCATAGTTGTTACGGCGTCGCCTAGGCGTCGCCTAGGCGCCGACTAGTCGTCCTGGCGATGGAGAAGGGGCGCCATGGTTACTCGACTCGACTGGAGCTGCCAAGGCGCAACTCGGCGACGACTAGGCGTAACTTGGCGTCGATTAGGCGCTATGGCGACGCCCGTCGCCTGTTTTGCCGATGTTGAGTTTTAAGATTTAGCCATCGGCTATAACCCTAAGGCCATCAATAGTTCATCTGGTCGGTCGATTCACTGATGGAAGTCGCCACAGTAAGATGCCGCCTCAAGTCACTGTATGGCGCAGTTGCTCCACCTCCGTCTCTGCTTACTTCGCTCGTTTGGCGTTCTTGTTTTCAAAAGTCGCTAGCTGGTCTTTATTTGTTTGAGTTTTGTTTGGTTTGGCAGACAGCTGGACTCCATATATTTCTTAATGCATTACGCATTTTTCTATGGAGTATTTTTTTATGTGTACTGTTTATGTACAGTAAAATTCTACTCTTTCATTTATTTCATGTCCAGCTGGAATCCATGAACCAAATTCAATCTTTGTTACAAAATGTCTGCTATACTATTGCATATAGTACGCATTTTTGTTATTTTCTTTGTGAAAATGTATACTGGACATTTTTCTAGAAACATAATCTATCGTTTCATATATGTTTGTTTTAAATAATCTGAAATATATATTTTTATTTTATATAAATTTAAATATTACATATGGCACGACTTGTCGCCTAGTTGTCGCCTAGGCGGGCGCCTAAACGCCTAGGCGATATGGCAGTCAATTGGCGCCGCGCCTCGCCTAGTCGCCGTGACAAGTATTATATGTTTCATGCAGGCAACTTCCTATCGATTACCAGAAGTTGGACCTCTAATGACAAAATTACCCTTGAGCTACCTATGAGTCTTAGAACTGAGGCCATTAAAGGTACCACCTGTGCTTGCATAACAAAAGTATTGTGAAGTTGGTGTTTGTGGAAAGCCCTATTATTAAGAGATCATATAATTCTTTACTTTATGTGGTGATACTTCTTCTTGTTCTTTAGATGATCGGCCAGAATATGCTTCTATTCAGGCAGTCCTTTATGGTCCATACCTACTAGCTGGTCTTTCCAGTGGTGATTGGGACATTAAAGCTACATCACCATCAGTTTCTCCTTCAACATGGATATACCCCATCCCAACTGACAATTCTGTTCTGGTCTCTCTAACCCAAGAATCCGGGAACGACTCTTTCATCGTAACAAACTCAAACCAGACCATTAATATGAAACCATACCCCAAATCCGGAACAGATTCTGCAGCAAGAGCTACATTTAGGCTCTTTTCAAAAGTCACGTCTAACAAGAAGCTTTCATTACCAATAGATCTCATAGGGAGAGTCGTCAGGCTAGAGGCATTCGACTGTCCAGGAATGGTAGTGAAACAAGGGGAAGAGAAAAGCTTGGTAGTTGAGAATTATTCCTCATCGGACGAAAGCGCCACCACTTCTGACTTTCTTTTAACTGAGGGATTAGATGGGAAAAACGGGACGGTGTCATTGGAGTCCGTATCCCAGAAAGGTTGTTATTTTTATAGTGGTGCCGATTATGGGCTCGGTTTAGGTGTCAAGCTGAGGTGCATGGATGAGTCCTCACCAGATGCTGGGTTTAAACATGCTTCAAGCTTTAAACTGGAAACTGGGATGAGTGAGTATCATCCCATCAGCTTTGTGGCCAAAGGAACAAATAGAAATTTTCTTTTGGTTCCATTACATAGTTTGAGGGATGAATCTTATACCGTTTACTTTAACATCACCTTTTGAGGGATGGAAGAATGTTGCTCTTTGTCTGTGTATGAGAGCACGTACTCTATAATTTAATGTTCTATTATATATTGCACAAAAATGTGATTTAAAAACTTTTAGTAACTATTAACTAATGATGTATAAATTTTACATCAAAGTGACTATAAAAAGTGTACTCATAGGTAATTTTAGAACTTTTTGTTCACAAGTTTTATTTTAGTAACATTTTAGGAGTAACATCAGGAAAAAACTTCCATTAACTAATGTTGAGTTATATGACCAACCATTGAGATTAAAGTATTAAACTCCCAGGGTGGGTGTTAGTTGTTTGCCCAAGAGACACTCAGATAGGACACAACAAAATGTTATTCCATTAAAACATAGGACACTGACATTGATGTATAACATTGAGGTACATTATAATTATTGAAAGAATAAAGACTTAAGCTAATAACAACCTAGCTCCGTCAATAAATAAAAATTCCCACCAGTTTATATGTATTGACTCAATCAATTCAATTCTTTACTGCAATCCAGCATCGTCAATATATTCACCCAACAATTTTTTTTTATAATTAAAGTCTTACTTTTATCATTATACATCAATTTTAAATACATAAATCTGGGATTTTTTTTTTAAATCTTACTTCAGACCTATTTTAGAAAAAATAATTGAAAGATGCAAAAAAAATATTTTAATTGTGAATCTTATGTTTTAGCATTTCAATCCGTTGAAACTTTTTAAATTTTATAGATACAATATTAATGACATGAAATGTAATAAAAAAAATCATAAATTGTGATATATTTTCTTGGGAAAACTGTCAAATAGGTCCTCGAACTTTCATAGAATTGTCAAATAAATCCTTATATAGGAGGCTCTGTCCGGCTGGAGCGGTTCCCGGTGGAATTTTTTGATGAAAATTTTTTAGCATCTTATTCATTAAGTCTAGTTTACTCATACCAAATTTCAGCTAAAATTTCAATCGGGAACGCATTCAAATTAATTCTTCGCAGTTATCTTCAAGAATTAATTTTCATACAAAAAATTTCATCAAAAAATTCCACCGGGAAGTCGGGAACCGCCCCAAATCGCGACGGCCGGACAGAGCCTCTTATATAAGGACTTATTTGACAATTTTATGAAAGTTCGAGGACCTATTTGACATTTTCCTTATTTTCTATAAAAATTAAAGTAAAATTAGTAAAGTTATTACAATTGAAAGAATTGGGATTTAAACTTTACATGGGGTCACTACTTATTATTCCTTATGCGGCCAATCAGCTGCTATTGTTTTCTTCCGTTGTTGCAGCGTGCAGAGCAATAGGTAGGGATGGACTCGGTTCGGGCCGGGCCCGGTTCGGGCCTTGAATCGGCCGGGCCCGGTTCGGGCCTTGAACCGGACGGGCCTCGGTTCACGGTTTGAGAGGCCCGGAACCGGCCCGGGTAACCCCGGGTCCGGTTCGGGCCGGGCCACCCGCCTGGTTCACGGGCCGGGCCCGGTTCGGGCCGGTCCTTTTAATTTTTTTTTTTATATTCTATACTATATTATTATAATAGTTGTTATTAAAAACAAAATTCAAGTGCATTTATTTGAAATAGGAAGTACATTTGAGAATTGAGGAAAAAATAACAATATGAAATACATTTTCGAATAAATATCAATTGGGATTTCCGCCACCGTTGGTTGTTGTTTTACGTTTGTCACATGACTTCATATGTTTCATTGGCATCCCGACTCCGTGTGAACGCCCCAAGCAACACTCTTTCTTGCACCACTTGTAAAAATTTACTAGTTATTTTTACCTTAATGAGAAATGTATACTTTAACTAATATTAACATGACAAATGTAAAAATGTACTACTTTTTTTACTTTAATGAGAAATGTAGCAAGTAACTAATATTAATATGAAAAATGTACCAATTAAGTAGTTTAACTAATATTATTATGACAAATGTAAAACTTAACTAGTTTTTTTTTTTTTACTTTAATGAGCAATGTATGAAATAACTAATTTTAATATGACAAATGAAACAATTAAGTACTTTAACTAATTGAAATATGACAAATGTAAAAATATACTACTTTAACTATTTTTTTCTTTAAAGAGAAATGTAGAGAAATGTAACAATTAACTAATTTAATAGATAAATGAGAAGTCTAACAATTAACTACTTAATAGATAAATGAGAAGTCTAACAATTAACTACTATTATAAGTAATATATAATATAATGTTTATAGTATATAATATATAAGTATATTACTATAAGATGAGTAATACACTTATACTTAATACTTTAATATATATATATATATATATAAGTATATATTAACTAAATATAATATGTAAATATAAGTAAATAACAATAGTATATATACAAACTAAATATCAAATAAATATGAATGTGTATAAGTATATATAGTATATATAATGTGTAAATATATTATAAGTAATATATAATATAATGTTTATAGTATATAATATATAAGTATATTACTATAAGATGAGTAATACACTTATACTTAATACTTTAATATATATATATATATATATATATATATATAATATATATATATATAAGTATATATTAACTAAATGTAATATGTAAATATAAGTAAATAACAATAGTATGGATAATAACTAAATATCAAGTAAATATGAATGTGTATAAGTATATATTTATAAATAGATGATTAATATATAAGTAGATATAATAATTATATAAATTATATATATGTAGAAAGAATTTGGAGAAGATGAAGAATGAAGATGATTGAATATGAGAGATTTAGAGTAGAGAATTAGAGAGTAGGAAGAGTTGTAGAAGAAGAGGTGTAAAAAATGTAGAGAAAATAGGAGTTTAAATAGATGTTTTTTTTATACCCCACCCCACCCCCCACCCGACCCCCCTAACCCCCCAGACCCCCCCTCCTAATTCCTATGCTCCCAACGGCTATAGAGCCATTTGGGAGCCTTCCCAACGGCTAGGAGCCTTTCTAAAATCAATTTTTTTTAAAAAAAAAAAATATGGCCGTTGGAGGCCCGAACCGGCCCCGACCCGGCCGGGTCGGTTCACTAAAATGGAGGCCCGGGCCCGGACCGCTATACCACCGGGCCGGGTGGCCCGAACCGGCTAAGAACCGGTTGACCGGCCCGGTCCGGGCCCGCACAGTAGCGGGCCGGTCCGGTTCCGGGCCGGTTGGCCCGGCCCGAGTCCACCCCTAGCAATAGGCAGAGTGATAAGCCTACCAAATTCCCAGCCTAGGGGTGCCATACACCCACTTGACACCCCAAAATACATGGGGTGTAGTGATATTTGAGGTGAAAAGCTCAAAGTTGGCTTATTATTCACCACTGGAATGCAGGTAGCCTAACTTGCTAATATATGTCAATATACAAGGATATTTTATAGGAGAAAATAATTTTGATATCTCAAGCTTTGAAGCGTTTTGAGGTAAATACTCTAAATTTGTACATTTAATATATATACTTCAACCTTTATATAAAGAATTATGTGAGTACGATGATCATATATTTTTTCATAAATGTATTTAAATGTTGTCAAAGTACATAATTTAAAATATACAAAGCACTTATGAGGAAACAATTAAAATTAGATTTCATTGGACTTTTAGAATGTTAACTGCACCCAAACAAAGCGTAGAGTATTTTAAATCATGTACTTATTCAAATAAATTTATATCATGGTGTAAATATATATTTTTAATATAAAATTTGGGATATATATTACATATGCAAGTTTGGAGTATTTTTCTCACACCCCTTTAAAATTTGGGATATTTATTTTACTTTCACCTACTTTATATGCTTAAAAATTATTTTTGTGAAAGAATATTTATCGCTAATGTGTTTACTTTAAAGTGATATACCCCGTATTATAGAATATTAAGATAAAAATCCTATTACTAGATAATTCCACAAATGTGATACAAATAATTGAAGCACAGTGAAGTATTGGATCCAATGATATGAACACAATGTTATTTTTATATTCTGATTTTTCATTTACAATTTTGATTTTGAGTTAATAGGTAGCACAAGATACACAAGCATTTTTTGTGTGGTGACAAATGACATGAACAAGAAACATATTACTCCCACCGTCCCTAATTGTTCTTCCGTAGTACAAATGACACACAAATTAAGATATTGGATATTGTGTGGTGAAAATTTGTGTCGATGAAAGAGAAACGTGTAAGATATTTATAAACCACAAATTCTTTATCAGAAAAGGAAAATAGAAGTTTTATTGGGACGATCGAAAAAGAAAAGTTTTAAGTTTTTCTCGACACAGAGAGAAGATACTTAAAACGTGTGAAATCAAGCATGTGCATAAAATAGCTAAAATAGCTAATAATGTTTTTTTGATAACTGTATCACACATTCACACAAAAATATATTTCCTCCGTCCTCCTGTTATTGTCTCATTTTCTATTCACTTGATCAACACAAATCACTCTTAATCTCTTACTTTATGTATCAAATTTGATCCTGATTTTTGCGACTTTGTAAAGCTTTTAATGTAGTTTCTGAATATGTATTTTTTTACTAAAAATAATTTGAATGCGAAAAGAGATCCATTTGCTTTATCGTCAGTCAAACATCGTAAACCGCAATGGGACAATAACAAGGGGACGGAGGTAGTAGTAAAAAAGGGATCGTTAGATAACTCAACAAATATCGAAACAAAAGTAGATTTTATTACAACAAAATCAACCAATCAAGTTACTATATAACGAAAAGTTGACTAATATAGCTTCTAAACTATAAAAAGAATGCATTTAATGGTTTTTTATGCTTCTTGTTTAAGAGCAAAAGCAGAATCGTAATCAGTTTTCAAAAGTTAGTCTCCCCATCTTCTAAAAAACTACGCTTAAGAGTAATTGGAGCACCCACAAATACTTCTGCACTTTCACCCAAACACTCCAATATCTATTTCTACTCATAAAGAGTAGATTCAGTTTTAAAAAGTAAATCCAAATAGCCCCTTAATAGTTAAAACCCGCCCTGACTTTCAAATTCGGGTTAGAATCAAAGTAATGAACTACTCCGTATATATTTACCTGAATTTTAATTTGGTAGAAAATTTCAAGGTGAAACCCACACTGTATTGTCCATCTAAACCTTATAAGTTCAGTGTAAGCTGATACTGGATTTTCTTCCATTTGACTTCATTATATC